GGATTGATTCATTATATGGATGTCTTGATATTTTGTGATTTGATGATCTTCCGACCTCTCGTATACCTTTTTGATTTGATGATTTTTTTGCCTTTGTATGCTTATGTACTAATTTTTTTTTTTTGGTTTCTTAAATTTATTTGTCTTCTCTTATAAAATTTTAACCCCTCATTCCAAGTGCTCTTTTGTGTTTATTTTTTGTGGGCTTTCTAATTTGTAATAATAATTTATTATGTTAGAAACTTCAAGTTATGGATAAGAGTTGGATGACTCTTTCAAGAATTAGTGAAACATATATGAATGGAGTTGAATATAAAATCGTAACCTTATTTAGATTTTAGAGTTGTAGCTTTTTTAAGAATTTATGAATGAAACACAACGATAGAAAAGAATAAAATATGCTTGAAGGCGTTCATACTACCAAAATACATTTTAATTTTCTCTTTAGTAATGTTTGTTTCAAATGAATTTACCTCTTATTTATTTAGTTATGATTCTTGCAAAAGTGACACAATCGACATCTTTGAAAATTTTGAACTCATGGCTTTTAAAGGCTTAGCATTTTATCTAGTAGACATTTGTAATAGATAACATATGGGAAATATTGCTATAGAAAATGGTTGAAATTAGTTTTGTGAACTGTAAAATACAATCTGTAGGATCTACTAATATATGCACAATACCATCTTTACTAAATTAAGCTTTCTAGCTTGCTGAGTAAGTGTCCGACGTTTAATATCAATATTATTAATCTTTAATTAGCCATCATAATATATAAATTGACTAGCATGTGATTTTTTTTTTTTATAGTGGATACATTACTTAACCACAACAAATAATCCCTAAATACTCAATCATACGGTTGATGGTCGACTTAAAATCGAATTTGTCAAATGATTTAGTGATTATGTGAGTATTCTTATTTCAGTTCAAGTTTGCTTAATAGTTTTCTTTGATTGTTAACTAAAGTTCTCATTGTGGATCTTGATTTTTAGACAAAATATATAGAACAAACTTGTATGACAAAGTAACTCATAAAAGATTTTTTGAAAAAGACACTTTACATCTTATAAAGTCGTATTTAGGGTACATTATGAATGGATATAGGTTTCACGGACAAAAGCATGGTACGGATAAAGCAAGTATAAATAGTGGAGTGTGCATTAAATGATCTAATTACAATGTATATGAGAGTAACTATTACGGGATATTGACTAAAATTCTGCAGTTAGAGTACCCGCACTACTAATCAAGCGAACAATTAAATTCAAATGCAATTGGTTTGATCCCGTATCGAATGGAATAAAGGTTCATTCGTAATATAGACCGAGTAGAGATAAATTATAGAAAGAGTTTCAACATATACAAACCTTTTGTGCTAACAAAAAAAATAGCTCAAGTATATTATATCACGTATCCTAGCTTAAAGAGTGACCATATGGATTGGTGGGGTGTTTGTAAGAAAAAAGCTAAGGTTGTGGTTCATTTGCCGAGTCATCTATTGGAGTCTAACATAATGCAAATCCATTTCAAGAGGATGTTTCAGAAATCTAACATAATTTGGTCGAGGATGACGGTGAAGAGTAGTCATTGAATGATCCAAGTGGATTGTTTATAGATATAGAAATAATTGAAGGTAATGAAAAAAATGAGAATGAATATGTATCGGTATCGATCGATAAAAAGAAAAACTTAGAAGATTATTATGACACTTGTAATTAAAAATCATTTCATTATTGTATTTATTAAATTATATTGTTTTGTATATGATGCTTTTTTTATGTTTGTTATGTATTTTGGACGTGTTGAATTTTGTGCTAGTGGCGTTTTCAATAATAAGAAATATCAAATTTATAGATTTTTTTGGTTTTAATTCATAATAATTGATAATATATTTTTTATTGAGTTGTTATTCATTTTTTAAACTATTTTAGATTTTATTCTTGAATTATGCCTCATGGATTAGGCCAATATGGTCACGATATTAATGGTCGTGGCTTTGATATTGACCATATATGATTGATAGTGGTGGTGTCTATAGATGTGGCATTACTAGTGTAATTATCCGAGGTTGCAAACTTGATAGTGGTATCGGAACATCTACATCCCCTCCAGGTAGTGTCCTTGTTGGTTATGCCTCTACTCAGTAGTGCTCCCTGCTCGTGGATAATACCACTATGATTCCTCAACTCCAAGAAGTTCTATTGGATTTGATGATGAATGAACTATTTAGGTCATGAATAACTGGTAAATACTATATTTTACATGCGATAATTAGTTTTATATTTTCACATATTATATTGGAATCATTAATTCACTTGTTTATTATTTCTTTATTTTGTTTGACGAGTTTGTTCCACCAAGTACATGCTCCATAAAAATCACTATAATTTTCAAGGAATGGTTGAATGTCACTAGCTCCACATGAAAGTTTATCTCTATGGAGATGAAGGACTTTTACTTTAATGAGTTTAGGATAACATATTAATTATTTACTTATATTTCATTTAAAGTGATAATTTAAGATGAAAAGTATTAATATTTTTTTCTTCATGTACAAGTACTTTTTATGGGATGTGATCGTCGATGCACCGATTAAGGATACGTGGGAAAGTTTAGCGTGTAGGTGGTATGACAACATGCTTAACAAGTCGAAGTATAAGAGTACGAGACTTATGTTTGTTAAACATGGGTTGTGGGAAGCATGACACCGAAATTAGGCCACTCTTAAGTATTAAGCTCGGATCTCAACAAACGTTTTGGAACTATATGTCGGAGATGGGATCGTGTTAGTGTTGGCCTATCTAAGCATGATCGAGGATCCATCTCTTTGATCAAATACATTGAGCGTTTAGTAAATCTAATATTATCTATTGTGTTATAAATTATTTTTTTGTATTTATTTCTCCTCATATTATTTTTTTATTTTTTTAGCATAATAAATTGGGTCATAACCAAATTCTTACGAATTGTTCCTAACCACTCATAAGTAAAAGGATAAGACATTCATTGACGGACGATCATAGACGGTAATAGTAAAGTTTTATATATTTTTAAATATATATACATTTATCGATATAATCTAAAAAATATATTTATTACTTAATATTATAATTATTTCAATGACATAAGAGCGCATACGATTAATGCAAGAAGCAACCGCTAGAGGGTGATGCTTTATCTCCAAATATCGACATGTATAAGATATATTTGGATGATGTTAGAGGGCTATCGATATAATTTAAAAATATATATATATATATTTATAATTTAATATTGTAATTATTTCAATAACATAGGAGCGTGTATAGTTAATGCAACAAGAAGTCATTAAGAGGGTGATGCTTTGTCTCAAAATATCAACATGTCTAAGATATATTTAGATGATGTCGAAGAGAGAAGAAATAGAGAGTGTATGGAATTGAAACTTATGCGTTCTAGTGTTACTTACGTTTTGGCACTAACTCCTCCTCTCGCCACATCATGCTATCTTGGTAGTAATATCCAAGAGGTTTACGCCAGTATGAAAAATAGGATCAAGATGATGAAGGATACCATCCAACAACACACTAGCTAAGTTATCTTTATACGTAGTCATTTACAAATAGTGATAGAGATGTTACGGAACATGCAGTAACCTCCCTTCCCTCCCGTTGACCCTCCAACGGCCTCAACAGTTAGTCTTTCCTCTCAATAGCTAGTAGCCAAAAAATGATGCAAGAGATGGTGATAATGAAGACTAAATTTCTTTCTTTCTTTCTTTCTTTCTTTCTTTCTTTCTTTCTTTTTGAAAAAGACATTTAATGTTTTCGTACATCTTAAAGCATTTATATGTTTAATTTAATTTAATTTATTTTATTTTAGTTTCATTAAATAATAAATTATATTTTAATAAGGTGTTGTTTATAGTTGTTTGTTATTATAATTAACAATATATGGTTATTGATTTTTTTTTAAAAAATAAAATTAGTAACGAATTTAGCGATGGAATTATGAGGGTAATTGACGACGAAGATATATAGTCGCTAAATAACGATAGATTCAGTGACAAAATTGTGAGGACCTTAGTGACTATAATTTAACAACACCTTTTTCATCTCTATTTAATATGGATGTAAGTAAAAATAACAATGGTTAATGACGAATATAAGACATTATAGACAACTCGTTTTAGATCAATTTAGCGATAAAAAATCAACAATTTAATGATGGATTTTCCATCGTTGATTAGTGTTGAAAATAAGTTTGGTCACTAAAAAAATAGCAACCATCATATTAGAAATGGAATACATATTATCTCTAATGATTTGCTAATTGCATATAGCGGCAAAAGAATTTGTTGCTATTTAACGAAATTCTAGTAGTGCAAATTATAAACTAATCTCTCTTATTTTGAAAAATGAATTAATTAATCTTTCTTATTTTTTTAAAAAACTAATTATCTAATCTTTATATTATTAAATTTTATTATAACTTAAAAAAACAAAAAGCACATGCAATTTATGGCCTTCCTAAAAGGAAAAAGCACCCTCTTAGCTTTTCAAAAAAGTTTTCGTTTGGATAGAAAGTGTAATTTTTATCAACAAGTTGTTGACTTAATGATAAGCGAACTGATCCCCAAGAAAATTTTTGATCTACATGCAAGGTTCGAATTATGAAATCACACCTCTTGGAAATGGTTAAATTTTATCATTTCTGTCTCAAATAAGATTAGTTCTATCTTTAATATTGAATGAATATACCCGAAGAAAACCAAAACAAAAAGTGCAAATTTTCTTCCACCTTATGTGTTTGCCTCAAAAGAGGTTAAACATACATGATAAAGGAAAAGCATTACATAAAATATACAAAACCATTTGAAATTTAAAAGCATGCTTTCTGAATCTGAAATTGCTTTGAATTAAATGAAGCTTAACCAAGATTTAAAATGCTAAATTAAGATAGCTAGCTTGAGGATACAATGCAGAGTACGAAGATCCATTATCTATTACAACATTGCCTCACGCTATGTTCTTCATCATGTCTTCAATTAGAAGATCTAATGCAGAGTACGAAGATCCATTAGCCAACAAAGCTTTCCTGCTTAGTTGACTCATTTCTTTTACTTTATTTCTTATCTCACTATCTTGTTCCATTGCAAACTTTACTCTTTTTTTAATCTCGTCCGAGCTCACAATTACTTTACTACCATCCAAAAAAAAATCATTCCTATAATCTATTTTAATCTCCACTGCTAATCCCAACTCAATTACCATTTCAAAAGCATTGAATTGTTGCTCACCGTATAATGGCCATGCCGCAATTGGAACACCAAATAAAATACTTTCCAATGTAGAATTCCATCCACAATGCGATACAAACCCTCCCACAGCTTTATGGGCTAAAATTTCGACTTGTGGAGCCCATCCAATCACCTTGCCTCTTTCAACCGTCCGATCCAAAAACCCTTGGGGTAAAATTTCTTGGAAATTAAGGTAGTCACTTGGTGATTCAATCTTAGCCTTGGAAGAAGAAGGTTTCCGTAGACACCACAAGAATCGATGTCCACACTGCTCCAATGCACAGGCAATCTCTTTCACTTGATCGATACTGAAACTTCCCCAACTCCCAAAGCATAAAAACAATACTGATGATGGAGGCTGATCATCGAGCCATTGCATGATGTCTTTATAATCGTTGATTCGATCTGATCCAAAATCATAGTCATTTCCTTGGGATCTCACAATTGGTCCCACTGGATATACTGGAGGGATTTCACCATTTGAAAGAGAGTCAACCGCATGTGATTCCAACTCTTTAAATGTGTTTACCACAATACCCCTCGTCTTCCTCAACCTTCTTGCGGCATCAAGAAAAGTAGAGAACGACTGTCTGTGAAACACGATAGAAGGCAGGAGCTTAGCAGGGAACCGGTTCACGAGACTTGGAATTTCCAACTCAGCATCCGAGTTTTCGAACTCAAAGAGATCCACTTTCTGCTCATCATGAAGGGCCTGGAGATGCAACATGGAGCCAATAAAAGCTGCACCTGATGCGGAGAAAACATACCAGGGAACACCAAATTCTTCAGCCAAATCCTCCATTCCTAAAACAAAAGAATCAAAAACAAACCCAGCAAGTCGAGGGGAGTCAGGGCTCAACTCTGACTGAGTCTTGAACTTGGAAACAAATTCTTTGACATGGGGTTTATGGGCATCAGCCAAAGAAGCCATCCAGTTACCGCCAGTATTAGATACTGCAGTATGCTCTAAACTTGGTAAGTCAACCACTCGCATGCGATTGGGTAGAGTTGATGCACTGAGTGACTCAGTGTATTTGGCAGTACTGGGGTCAGGAGCTGGATGCATGATGAGGACACTTGTTGAAATTTGATTTCCACGTTCAACAATAAGCTTAGCCAACTCTACTGCAGCTATAACGTGGCCCATTGCAGGTAATGGGATAAACACTACCTCTACTTTCTTCATCCTAAGTTTTTTTATCAAGCTATTGTGTATGGCTTGTTTCAATTATTTCGGAATATATAATGGTAATCAATTCTAGAAGAAAATGAATTTCACGAATTGTTTATTTGTAACAATAGAGGACAAAATCTAGACTTTTACGTCATGGCTTTGTGGCTGTGAATTTTCTTCGTATCAGACAAGATGAGATTAGGCCCCGTCAAACTTGCTCATCACGGAGTGGATTGTTGTGGTGTATAGGGTCCAAAATGCTCAGATTCTCCAGAGGATAGACGGCTAGAGGATTGTTGACGATGTTCAATTTACTTGGGCTGGAAGAAACTTCTTCTTATCTATAACAATGGTTGGAGGAAACTTCTTCCTATCTATATGTATTATGATTTCATAATAATGCTGCCATGTGACATTAATAATATCAATTGCGTTTTTAAATAAATATTTTCCCTTACCGATTTTGCTTTGTTAGATAAAAATTTTTTCCCACTTTTTTTTATCACTTTTCTTTCAATTTACACCGTTTTTTTTTCCTCACATGTCATCTTAATACAAACTCATCCAAAAGAAAATTATTGTCCTTTGAAGATTTTTTTTATTCGACAATAAAAAATATTCTTGAATCAACTTTCATTTCATCCGAATTAAATTAAATTTTCTTTTTAGATGATTTTAAGGATTCATCCCTCAACCTCATATTATTTTGGTGCATTTAAAAAAATTATTAAATTTTTTTAGGTGTCGTCTTAAAGTTTGAATCCAAAAAATTAAAAAATTATAACACTTCTAACCATCATATCATAGATAGCAATGAACGAATATTCGATCCATTGATTCAATTTTCTACCTTACTTATAAAAAAAATACCTTACATATTACCCATTAAAAAATCACAATATAAAATTTTTACCCCACTCATATTAGTTTACTAGTCCATTTAATACACGTTAAAAATAATTTGTCAAAAATATTTCATTTTATTCCTTGTAATTTTCAAGAAAAGTTTTTTTTTATCCTTAAAATTTAATTATTTTTACATTTTTTTCTTTTCTTTATAAGTTTTTTTGGCCCTCAAATTTTTTGGAAAAAAGTTTCTTAATTTTTACGGTTAATGCAATTAGATCTCGCATGTTTAAAAGAAAATCAAAATAAATTAGTAGATATTAATAGAATAAGAAGTGAGCACCTATATTTGGAAACTATATATATATGCACCATGACCCAAGAGTGGGCCATGATCGGTGCCAAAATCTAGGAAACCATGAGGCCTACCTCGACTCAAGCAAGTCTCAAATACTTATACTATAATCCTCAAACTTTTATTACATCAAACATCATTTCATTTCACAACAACACAACCTAACAATCATTACTTCATAACTCCAACACAAATCATAATTTACTATTATTCTTCCATCTCTTAAATCAAAATCCATAATTGATTTCTAATACAACACCCATAAACTATAACCATAGAGCTTCTAAAAATTACAACAAAATCAAATATAAGTTCCAAGAGAGTATAATTAAATAAGTCGCATAATCAATGTGTCGATTTCAAGATAAATAGTCAAGTGGAAGCTAAAAGAGCACTCTCACAAACCCTATAAAAACTAAAATCACGAGAGGGTGAGCAAATCAACAACTTAGTGAGTAGATACTATATAACTCATCTAAAAGAGGGAAACGGACTAAAGACGATAACTTAAACTTCAACTCAAGATGCAATGTTAGTTTTTCCAAAACAAATGCATATCATAAATCCAAATCGTACATCGCAAGTTAAATGATTCACAACTAATTGATCTCAAATCATTAAAAGGTGTGTGTGTGTGTGTGTGTGTGTGTGTGTGTGTGTGTGTGTGTGTGTGTATATAATGAAATCAAACCACATATCTAGCTTTTTATAATCCTTAGGGTGAATATAATGTATCATTAGATGTGAACACCTAAAGGTCATACCCCTCGTGACAAGGTTTCCATATGTTGATCGATGCATGGGCTAACATTCTACCTCTCCTACTAGTTGGAGCCTCATATCATTAAGCTCAAAGGTTATGCCTCCCATAGCTAGGTACCCTAACATGACGAAAACATTTCGAAAACCTTATAGCTTATACATATTCAAAATCCAATACTTCACATACAATGTATGCTCAAAATCAAATTGATAGTACAATCTCGTATAAAATAAATATTTACAAAAATTATATGGATAATCAAAATAACAAGTTAAAGTAAATTTCTATTCAAATTCATAATCACATAACAACCAAGTAAAACATTTGCTCAAACATATACTTAAATCTCTTTTTAAAATCATATCAATTCATTCTAACCATTTTTTATACGAAATCAATTCAAATACACATAGGGTCCGTTCCTATCTAAATTCTAAGAAATGTGATTAAATTGTACTTAAACCAATGATACTTGACAAACATAATTGAAGAAATTTAAAAGCATAATATGCTATATAATATTCACTCATTGTACAATTGAAGAATCGAATGGAACCAAAGTTGTTGAGATGGAGTCGTCCGTTCTAAATAATCTAATAACATAAAATGATAGAACAACTAACAATATCATATGTAAAAGAATAATTCAAAACAAATGAATTATTTTAAAAATAGGAATACAAAATTATCTATGAGGATGGAGTTGATTGGAAGACTCAAACCGATAACTTTAACTAAGTTTATAATCTCCTCAATAATTCTAAACAATTACCTAACTAATTCTAAGTTCACTCTATAATTTTTCTCCATCAATCCAATTATCCATCATCAATACCCAATTCAATTCAAACTTTAGATAATTAATTTTCAGTTCAATTAAACTTACTCAATTCAACTTCAAATTAACTTTATAAATTACTTACCCAAAATAATTAAACATCATTTAACCACTTATAATCACTTAATTAACTTTTTTCCCAATGGGTCTCAAAACCCTAACATCAATCTAACTCAATTCTTCATTCAAACAACAACCCATTGAAATCTAACTTCAAAACCATCAATAACTACATATAAACATTCCAATTTAAAAATCAAATGATGAAATCTCTTACCTTTAATAATTAGGTCCTCAATCCAAATTCCAATATTAATTCTTTACGCTTTCCAAGGTTTAATCTAACTAAACTCCACATTAATCAGCTTGTTTATGGTTTTTTCTAAGCTAATTTACAAGGTTTTAGCTTAGGATTTGAAAGAGGGAGATGGGAGAAAATTAAAGAGAAAGTTGCATGAGAGAGAAGAGAAAGAAGAAAGAAAAATAGAGAGGGACAATGTCTGTCCCCTTTTATACCTAGCCCAAATATATTTTTAATTTAAATATTATTTTAAAGCGAGTTATTAGAAAAAGCCATGATGAATGGTACCTTTTTAGTAACATAAAACCCTTTTCAAGGCTATCTAAGTGCACCTTAGTAGGAGAGTGCATATACTGTGATAGGTGATTCACAACAAATAAGACATCGGGATGCATCGGAGAGAGATATTATTGGTCATTAATTAATTTTCTATAAGAATCGAGCATAAAGAGGAGTAAAAACCATCATTCAATGGTGAGGGGTTGAAAAACACATTAGAGTATTAACTTCCTTTTCACCGATCATGGAGAAGGACTCAAAAAGATTAGTAATATGATGTTGTTAAGATAAAAACAAGCCATCTGCTATGTGAATGAATTCAACTCTTAAGAATTAATGAAGAATCCTAATGTCCTTTACTAAGAATCGAGTAGTAAGATGCGGAACAAAAAGTTCTAGAAAGTGATCATTATCGATCGATACTATATCATCAATATTGACTAAGGAGTAGAGATAAATACCTTCATTATTATTATGAATATAGAGGAGTCATCCATAGAGTTTGTAGAACTCGATTAAATGAGAAAAGATTTAAGTTCTTAATACCAAGCTCGTGGAGCTTGCTTTAGACCGTTGATAGCATTTTTTAACTTACGGACATGATTTAATGGAAAGGAATGGGAGCGACTTGGGGCTAAATCATGTAAACTTCATCGGATAATGTACCTTGAAGAAAAACATTATTAATATTGAGTTGCCAAAGTTTTCGAGCAATGGGCTATTAGTGTAGATGCTCAAGATCTAACCATGTTTAGATCGGTTTGAGTTATTGTATTATTAGATCATTTATTTTATTAATAATGAAGAAATCTTTCTATTAATTCTTATCTCTTATATTTTTTATTGAATAGAATTAGATAAAAGTCCATATGATATGCATTTGCATTAGTGATTGATCAAAAGATATGAGATAAACACTAATTCATATAAATGATATTATTAAATGTCCCAAGTCATAACATTGTCAAGAGTAGATATTGACTATATACGGTTAAACTTGTGAGTATTCTATTTATGCTATATGATAGCAGTAGGAGATCTCACACCTATTAGAATTATGATGCCAAAGTACGTACTTAGGTGATTCATGTTAGTAAACATATCACCTGGACTTGACTCGTCATGAGAATCTATTTGTTTTAGTCTATGAGAATCTCCTATGAGATGGGTATAACTAGTCTTTAGACTTGAAGTCATCACATTTATCTCATTGAAAGATTGATGTACTTTGACTCTCGTTTTGATGGACCCAAGTAAAAGATTACATGTGGATGATTTGTTAGGTGCAATAAGAATCTAATGGAGATAAGTGGATGATTATGATAAGACCTATCATTTCTTGTATGATAAAGGAGTTATCACATCACACTTTGATGAATATCTACTCAAGAAATCTATAGCCATAGTAGGGGTACACCAATAGAGCATAGTTGATTTACTTTATAAGCTAAGACATTTGGGAATCGAAGAAAACTTATGTGATCATGATCAAACAAGACTAATAACTAAGTTCAAGATCACGCGATGATAAGTTGACATAAGGATTGAATTGTGTGGTAACCATGCTCATAAAAGGTAATTATAAATTAATTTATCCTACTAGAGAATTGAGTAGTCATGATGCCTTGCT